ACCACAAATTGATAGTTAAGATATCTAACAGGGGACGCAGTCCTGCACAGAGTGCCAGTGCAGGATCCTATGAGGACCCTACGAACATGAGCAGCCGAGCTTCTTCTCCTGTGCTTTCTGAAAAGAATGATCAATTTGACCGAACATTAAAAGAAAGTGCGAAAGCTGAATCGTGGCAGAGCAATGATTTCAAAGATGTACTAACCGGTTCTGAAGATGGTGATGGATCACCAGCTACTGGTCCGGAGGAAGAGCGAAGCAAGATTGTTGATGAGGGCAGGAAATCAGCAGAAGCTAGAGCTGCTTGTACATCAGGGATCGAACTGAAGTCTGGAAAACTGCACGAAGCTTCTTTTAGCTCCATGAATGCTTTGATTGAGAGCTGTGTAAAATATTCTGAAGCAAACGTGCCTATGTTATTGGGTGATGCTATTGGAATGAATCTCCTTGCCAGTGTGGCTGCCGAACAAATGTCCAAGTCTGACATGGTTTCACCTTCTGTTTCTCCGCAAAGAAATACCTCTGCTGCTGAAGATGCTTGCACAGGTGATGATGTTAAGTCAAAGTCACCTCTGGCTGATATCTCCACTGGTGACAGTAGAAGTGATGATGATGGTGATAGAGAGAAACTGGTTGCTAGTGCTAGTGCTTCATGGTCGGAGAATAAACTGCATCCATCCAAGGGTGCTGCTACAGAGTTCTCTGGAGATAGGAAGGCCTCTTTTTTACCTCCCGAAGAGACAGTGACAGGAGGATACAACAAACAGTTCAACTCTCCCTGCATTGATTCACAGTCGGCTGGAGTGAAGTTGGAGATCACTGAGAAGTCAGGTGACATGGAAAAGGACAAGGCAATTGATTGTGATATAAGCAAACAATCCTTGGAGGAAAAGGTGGTGTCCCGTGAGGTCAAGGTTGATGGTGCTCTAGATGCTAAATTAGGTGGAAATTGTACTTCAGTATTAGAAGACAATGTCAGTAATGCAGTAGTAAGCTTCGAAGACCAGAAACCAACAGTTGAAGTCTGCACTTCTAAATTTGAAATTGAGAACAAGAATGGTGCGAATAGGGTGTTAAATAATGCTAGTACCGAGGTGAAACCATCTTTTGTGGCAAAATCTGAAAAGATGGAGGCAAGTGACAAGGAAGAGCGTCTACCAACTAGTTCAAATGGAGATCCCACTACAGACAAAGGTGGACAGTCTGATGAAGCAAATATAAGTCTTGTTCATCTGTCTGAAAAGACAAAATCTGATCAAGGAGCTGTTGATGCTTCAGCTGAGGATAAAGCCCGTGTGGATGATACTGATTTTACTAGAAATCAGAAAAGTGAAACTAGTGTTGAAAGGAAGGATGTCAATGTGCAGAACTCTGGCTTGTTACTCAATCAGAAAGAGAGACCTGGTTTTTCAAATGCAGAAGTGCTGAAACATGGGGAATCTAGAGAATCAAATTTCTCTGCTGTTGAAGAAGATAAAACAAAGGGCTGTGGATCCGCCACTCTGGAGACTTCTTCGGTCTCTGCTGCTGCTCCAGATTCAACTTCAAAGGTGAAGTTTGACTTAAATGAAGGTCTTATTTCTGATGAAGGAAAATACGGGGAGTCAATCAACTTTACAGGCCTTGGATCTCTATCCAATGTCCATATTATGAATCCGTTACCTTTTGCGGTATCCTCAGTTTCTTCTAGTCTTCCTGCCTCCGTTACAGTGGCCGCCGCCGCCAAGGGTCCGTTTGTTCCACCGGAGGAGCTATTGAGGGTTAAAGGGGAATTTGGATGGAAAGGATCTGCTGCCACAAGTGCATTTCGCCCAGCTGAGCCCAGGAAATCTCTTGATATGCCATTAAGTTCCACAAATATCTCTCATCCTGAAGCTTCTACCAGCAAGCACACTCGTCCACAATTAGATATTGACTTGAATGTACCAGATGAAAGAGCTTTTGATGAAATAAATTCTCGAGATTCTGCTCTAGAGTTGATCTCTCCGTTGGACCATATGACTAATCGTGTTGCATTGAAGAATGAAGCAATAGATTCTCCTGCTGTTCGCTGTTCTGGAGGACTCGATCTTGATTTAAATAGAGTTGATGAACCTGGTGATGTAGGGCAGTGCTCTGTGAGTAGCAGTAGTAGATTGGATGGTGCAGTTTTACCTTCCAAAGCATCATCATCCATTGGCTTGCCAACTGGGGAAGTGAGGAGGGACTTTGATTTAAATAATGGGCCTGGTGTTGATGATTCCAGCGCAGAACAGTTTTTATTCCACGATAATCATCAGGGAAGCATGCGTTCCCAACTGCCCGCTTCTAGTCTCAGACTGAACAATCCAGAAATGGGGAATCTTTCTTCTTGGTTTACTCCTGGGAATACTTATTCAACTGTGACACTTCCATCAATTTTGCCTGATCGTGTGGAGCAGCTGCCATTCCCAATGGTCACACCTGGTGCACAACGAATATTGGGTCCTCCTGCTGCTGGTTCTCCTTTCACTCCGGATGTTTACCGGAGTTCAGTATTGTCATCATCGCCTGCTGTGCCTTACCCATCCTCCCCTTTTCAGTATCCTATATTTCCTTTCGGAACGAGCTTCCCACTTCCTTCTGCAACATTTTCAGTTGGATCAACTTCTTTCGCAGATTCTTCCTCTGGTGGACGGCTTTATACGCCCCCTGTAAATTCACAGTTGCTGGGTCCTGTTGGCGCTGTGTCATCTCAATATCCAAGGCCTTATGTGGTTGGACTTCCTGACAGTAGCAGCAACGGTACCATGGATCACAATAGAAAATGGGGAAGGCAGGGTCTGGATCTTAATGCAGGCCCTGGAGTGGTGGACATGGAAGGGAGAGAAGAGTCGGTTTCTTTGTCGTCAAGGCAACTCTCTGTTGCCGGTTCACAAGCATTAGCAGACGAGCATGGTAGGATGTTTGCTGTACCTGGGGGTGTTCTGAAGAGGAAGGAGCCTGAGGGTGGGTGGGACAGTGAGAACTTCAGATTCAAGCAGTCATGGCACTAAGATCTGCTATCTGGTGATTTTATAAGGTGAGGCGTGTGTTATTTGTATGTTTATTGTTAACTCGGCAGATTCTTTTTAGCCTTTACACTTCAAAGTGTATGACTTGTACCTCCTACATTGTTTAAGCATTTGAATGGAACTTCTATGTAGGGAAGCGCTAGGACATCATGCATTAAGATTGCGTATCGCAAACTGAAAACTATGATATACAACCAATGAAAAGCTCGCTTGCACCTTTGTGCACAATTATTTTAAAGGTTTCTGCTGAAGCATGGTTTCTTCTTTTTCTAGTTTGATATATTCTGAAAGAACAAAAAAATTTTGAAGTTGGAAATGCTTGGGTCTTCTGTCTTATTATCGAGACATATTATAGTTGCTTTCCTCTCCCTCCTGAAAATCTATTTCCAGTAGGTCGAAGAAGAGAAAATGCTTGAGAAAAAGAAAATCAAACTTTCTTCCCCAGTATCTCTGAGCTATATTCCTTGTCCTTAGAACTTGTTGATGCCCCTTCATTCCTTTTTTGAGTTGTGTTTATTTTCCAAGTTTGGAGATTTGTTCCTATATTTTTGGTGTGGCTGACATTTTTACATCTCATTTTATTATTCTTTTTCCTTTTAATGCAGCTACTGGAGGAGGGACTTGGCTAACTCAAACTCTCAGCTTCTGGCATGCTCCTGTGGGTGGGCGGTAAGTGAGCAAAATTGATGTGTTCAGAGTCTCCGACCACCACCTCTTCAGCTTATCAGTGTAGTTGGGATTTCCATGGTTTGCAAGCACTTTGGTCAGCTATATTCTCTGGGTGGATGCAGATGAGTTTTCCCTCTGTAGATATTTAACTGTTGGAAAGCTTGAAATCTTTGATGCCCAGGGACTGGGGATAAATCAATGTTATCCTGTCCAAATTATTGACAACGGAAGTCCAATTTCGAGACTGAATCAAACGGAAAGCTTTTCTTTGTGCTTTGCTGTTTATCATCTTTCTTTGCTTCCCGTGTTCTTGGCTTTTCTCTGTCCTCCTTTGCCCATTACATATGTATACAGGGTTGACACAAATTTTGGTACTAATGCTTTCATCAGGCATGTTTTAGTTGTTGTGGCTGCCATTGTACCATAAATTAAATCGTTCTAACGTTAGTTGTAGTCTCATTCACAGATGATAGAACTCTTGTTAATGATATTTTCAATGATGGTGGGGGTGATGTGCTTGTTTTTCTTCAAGCTACTAATCTGAACCAAGTCTTGTGAGCAACGAAAAGACAACTTCTGTTTTCTGATTTGGAAAAATTAAATGGGTGGAGCTTTTGCATGGGTTAGGATTGTCTTATTGTTATGGCTGTTCCAATAATAGCTGTTTAGCTGTAACTGATATTTTAGCTTGTTGTGATGGCCGGTCCTCATATTGATGCTATGTTAATAGTGAGCTGAGTACGCATATCAAGTGTGAATGCTGAGTATTCTACATTGCAGAGATTGCGGTCTGGTTTGGGTGCAACCTGATATGCTTCTGTGCAGGTAATTAATCGCAGAAACCACAAGTATGGGGTGGGACCATTGTTTATTTCTGTCTGCTGTGATGATTCTTAGGCCATTTTTGTTTCATCTTCCCTTTTCCATTCCTCCTATAACCCAAGAGTTTTCATTTGCTTTGTTTCAAGTATGAGTGGCTGTATACATTACTTGTGCATGGGAGTTTTTACGTGGTTCCACAATTTAGAATGTGAAGTCTGATTGCAAGCTTGTGATGCAATATTGTTGTGTTATTTTCCCCTTTAAATGCGATCTTGTTGTTGTGTTAGCTCTCCTACAAAGGTACAGGGGTTGTGGACTTGTGGTTAATAACCTACTACCACGAAAGATGGACTCCACAGTTATGATACTGTAGCTTATTTTGTACATCTCCAGTATTCCTTCTCTTGCTATATTATTCAAGAGGACCTCTCTAATCTACTTGGTGCAGCCCCTCGTGTAGCTTCTGGCAAACAGCGATTGACATGGTTTAATAGAATTAATTAATACATGTACTTGAAATATAAACCTAGCATGCAACGTATTTTACAGACAAATAAAGGCCGTCCAGCAGTAAGTTGGGTTATGGAAAAACAAATACATTATGCTCGTCACAAAAGTTCTGATAGAAATGGAAGTTTTATAGGCAGCGGCATCAAGCCGTGGATATAATCATGTTAGAGGCCGAACAGATGGGAAATATGTACATTGAGATGTCACTTCAAACAAACGAGCTTCCTTCCGCACATCACATTCCTGCAGTAGCAGGTGAGAGAAGTTAGCATTACAGAAGAGAGTGGTAAACAAACATAGCGAAGACTAACATCCTTGGCAAAAACACAAAACTTGGATGTCTCAACAGCAGAAGCAAAACTCAAAAGTCAATGCTATGTTGCAAGGAATTCCATTTCAGAACACAGGCAAAACTGAAAAGTCAATGACAACGCCTCGCAATCAAAGTTGCAATTATATTAAGGGATCATTAGCGAATATCAAACCACAAATTAAACGCACAATATCTTCTTTATTATTTTGTTGCAAATTAGACACAGTTCTCGCACCAGATATTTATAATTGTTTCAACAGGTAGTGCTAGAAGTAGGATGTTTTAAATAGTACTCCCTTCGTTTCAATTTATGTGAAAACTATTTGACTGGGCACGAAATTTAAGAAAAAAAAGAAGATTGTTAAACTTGTGGTGTAAAATTAGATACATATATTTTGTGTGGCTATACATCATTGAATAAAGGTAAATTGTTTCCAAATATGAAAATTGGTCATTCTTTTTGGCACGGACTAAAAAGAAAATAGGTTCACATAATTTGAAACGGAGGGAGTAGCAGGGAATCAGCATCGGCAAGCGCCACTAGACAAGGATTTCCACAGGATAATACTTAAGCTATTTGGTAATGACAGTTCATCTCGCCATCAGTATGTCAAGATCAGATACTACTCAGGAATATAATAAAGGGAAAATTTCACATAAGAATAACTGGGCTCCCTGCTTTTTAATTTTATCCCATATTTTAATTTACAACCATCTAGCCCAAAAATAATAGGCTAATACTTAACATTCAACTCCAATAGGTTCTCGAAATTACTATTTAATTTTTAAAAAAGATTGCTCAAGCTTTTAAGTTAATTTTCGAATCAGTAATTGTGACTCAAATATTAGTTCAACAAACCAAATCCATTTGGGTAGTGAAAATTAGATTTTTAACAAGCTTAAATATGTGAATTTAAATGCCGAATTTGATTTTGTGAGAAATTTGGAGTGAGTATTATTTAAACTTGTTAGAAATAGTATAAGGAGGTTGTATATAAAATTTGAAGTCATTTAATGGAGATTTGGACTGGTTTTGAACAAGAATTACAACTGAAAATCGTGGAAGAAGTTCGTCTACAGACGCTTGTATAAAGGTGTATGTACAATAGTGTATAAGGTGTGTTTCTACACTCATATACACTATTATACAAGATTATACATAAAACTGATTTCGTCTTCTTCCTTGCGTCTTTTTTGAAATTTAATTCAAATCTACTCCAAATCAATTCAAATTTAAATTTTGAACTCCTTTTGATATTTTCAATCAATTGGAACAACACCTAATCCAAACAACTAACAAATTCAAAAAAAAACTATTTTCGAAAGCAAAGCTTTGAATGGTCTTCAATGGTGGACTTCTACTCTTCAATTTTCTTACATTGCAAGCAGGTGACACGAGGAGAAACAGAAAATACACGGCCTCTTGAAGGATATGGAGAAGATGTGAGAAGAAAAGAGACTGAAAGCAATGGTTGTGAGAACACATATTTAACTCCATAGCTTTTAGAAACAATGGTTGTAAGAACACATGTTTTGAATTTGCTAGTGCTTTCAAAATATGTACAATGTGGGCTAGGTCGGGTAAAACTTAAAAACATGGGCCATTTTTTGTTATGGTGGGAAGTCATGTGTATTTTCTTGTAATTCAAAGGCAAAGATCCAGAAGTAGCAATAAACTTTCTTTAAGTTACCTCATTTGCCTTACTTATTCGGGCAAAAGCTTTCATGTGACTACTAAACCCCATTCTACTTGAGGCTGCTGATAATTGCCACCAGGTTATCAGCTCAAATACTGAAACGATGTCATATAAAATTGAGGATAGATGTATTGAGCTGAGGCTGTAATCTTTGTTCATTTGGCACTAGTGATATTATGCAATGGTCAAAGTTCTGTGGACACAGATCTCCTAAGTTGAATTGAGATATTTTGGGGTTTCAGGATTAGTTGAAGACTTCCCTTCCTCTTCCGATGGGGTAAGTCAATATGAAGGAACCTATCAAGAGAGTCCAATCATCTAGTAGCTTCAAGGACCAGTTAGATATCTCATGATTTAGTGTATCTATATAAATCATTTCACAACGGCATTTAGGCAGCTGCAAATCAACACTTGTTGAATTTATCTGCTGAATTTTTAACTTCAAAATTCCACATGTGAAAAGCACAAGAAACACTAAAGAGTGGAGAGAATGGAAAAGGGAAAGGAAAACATAATGCTTAGTAGTTATTCCTCCTTTGAATAAAATAGTTCTCGCGTGAAAAGATTACTGTTATTTTCATCAGATTTTTCATTGGCACAAACTATTTATAAAACGATAATTCTAGGGTAAAGGAATGTTAATTTTGCAACCACAACTATCTCTAGAACACAGAACTTTGTCTTCTGGTTCAGTTCATGTTAACCAGGCAGGACAGCAAGAATTCAAAATGGGAGTTGTTTTGTATTTATAGTTTAAACTCGTAGATTAGAGGTCACTGCAGGATAATAAATACATATTCTTGCATGAGATGAATAAATAAAAAAAATGACGAGTCTCTCATTTGGTCTTCATACATTGTACACGGTATGAAGTGAGGGTACCTCTACATATACAACAGTATCATTAGGCTTGCATGTTCTAAGGACTTTGCCCTATCTTGAAAATATTTTGAGTTGTTAGTCGAACAAAAAGTTGCGCCACACATAAGAGCAATTATTCCTTGTTTCTTTTTTTTAAAATCAAAAAGGAATGATTTAGTCACTAGGAGACCCTTCAGCAAAGCATAGAGGTTCGACAAAGTAGCACAACTATTGTTTCTGTATGTCAACTTAATATGGCAATGGAGAACCGTGCATCATTAATTCAGCAAACATCATATAGCACCTTTCCATATAATACAAAGCTAAAAAACTGATTTTAACAGAGAAGGTTAAGAGAGTTACTAACATGAGACATCCTCGACGTTGTTTCTTCTTCTCCTTTTGCTTCAGTGGTGGCTTGATGACGACCTTGATTGCAGCATCAAAGACAGCTTTCACATTCTTTAAATTAAATAGGCAAAGTAAGCTCAGTTACAAATAGTCTAGAATCAAAAACAAAAGTAGATAACCATCAGGAAACAAACAGAAGAGCCTTTGCATCTTCAGTAAAGAAAATGTGGAAGGAAAAAATCAGGAGTATGGACCAGGTGGAAGGGAGGATTCTTAGGAAGAGACAAGCTAGAAAGAGAGATCAACATCTGGAATGTTCAATATTTAAACTGGTTCTAATTGGTACAAGTTTGAATTGGAAACTTAAGGTCTTGAACTAATTTTCAAAATAAGGGTGGCCAACCAGGCCTGCCTTTTCAATGAATAGCTTCATCGGTGATGTTATCTTACTATGTCAAGAAATTGTCAAAAAACAACCACACACACACGCATAGCCAGCATAGCAAGGAAGAAGGAAAGAGGAAGTCAAAAAATGTATGGCCATGCTTTGCAAGTTAAAGATTCATAATCTATTCTAATCATTTTAAAGATTCATAATCTATTCTAATCATTCTTTTCTTCACTTCAATTGAAAATCAGGTTGATATACGGTCAAAGGATGTTATAACACAAACCTGGATAATATTTTGAGAGTGACTCAAATAAACAAACCAGTGACCTCCGGAAAATGAAAAATACTCAGTCGCTGAATGAAGTTTTTCTATATGAGTTGATAAATAGGGATAGTAAAATGTTGCATATGGACGACATTAATAGGGGTGGGACAAGAGAACTTTTGCTAAGGAAAGCATATGCTGATATTTTCAGTCAGTTGATTAAAAACGATACCACAAATAGTAGAGGTTTGACAAATATTTTCATTAATATACATAATACATTCACCTACTATTGTCATTCACCTACTTAAAGAAGTTGACAAGAGTGTTGCAATAGTTTAAAAAAAAGAATATTCCCCAATAAAGAAATAGATGTGATACAACATCAAGAGAATTTCTGTTTTGATAGTTAAAAGTTGAGAGCACTTAAGTACTACAACTAGAAGGAATTACTATCACTTAAAGGGGTATCTACCCTACACTATCTAAGGACGAACAAGATAGAGATAATCGATCCACATCCATAGGTAGATGCCTAATAGACATTGAGGGCTATATTTGATATAAGAATGCCAGCCATGAAGCAGCAAAGACAAATAACACAAGACCAACTTTGTAGCACAGTGGTATTTGTTTCCAAAAAAATGTTTTAAACTTTTCATAATTTTTCAGTTTTTTGAGAAAAAAAATTCAACCAAACACTATTAGTTTGGTTTGAAATTCTTTTTTCGAAATTATAAAATATCTAGAATGTTTTTTCAGCCTTTTTGTAACGAGCTACAATCACTAATTCTTGGAAAATTTTAAACACCATGCATAACACTTATTTAGAAAAGGATACTACTTTAACCAACCTGTTGTGTTTTAGAGCTACATTCGATGTAATAGGCAGCACCAATTTGTTTCCGTAGCTCCTCTCCCTGAACATGTAGAGATCATTATGCCTCCCATTTATTCAAAGCGATGTAAAGGAGCAAGATACAACTGACAGATTGGAGGCAGACCTGCGCGGTGGTGACAGGAATTAATCCAGGATGATCAGCCAAGAAGTGCTTATCCTCACGAAGATCTGTAGCATCATCCAGACAGAAAAAGATTTAATGCATAACTTAGAATCAAGTAACATTGCACACCATGAGCAGAGCTTGCCAATTTCACAAGTAGACAGCGAATAAGACACACGTGACTATAGCAAAGTCATCTAGTGACTATACCATTACTGACAGCATTCAGTATATTTCATGTTTATCGGTTCCATAAATATACTCAATGAAAATAAACAACGATTGTTACACAAGAATTAAATCCATTCTACTATGTAATCTTAAATTCTGCTCCATCAAGGGGACACAAAGTCATTTGTTACAGGGACTTAACCACTAAGAATAATTCAGCACTAAGTACTCTTGATATCTGAAATATCATCCTTGATAGAAAGATAATGTTTCAGCTAGAGGGTGAGAGGGTTAATGGCTCAGGACAATCAAGTTGGAATAGAGACTAACAAAATACCAGAGAGCAACCAGAAGTTTTTAAGGAATAAACCTAGGAAAATTAAAATACAATTTTAGGAGAAAATGTTGTTCCCTAATGCTATCCATTACAGCATCTAATACTTTATCAAAAGATAAGGGCAACATTAGCAATTTGCTTTTAAATGTTTGGCCCCTGAAGAGAAGTAGACATCTTATCAAGCTATACTGCAAAACTAAATGGAAGTTATAAATAGGAAGTTTAACATTAAATTGTTTCTAAGATATAATAGTGTCATTTTTTTTGGAACAAATTAAAAAAGAAAGAGTGTCACATAAAATGGATTAGAGGGAGCAATAGACTCATGGCTAGATATATCCAACCTTGTGGAAGTAGGTGTATTTATCACTAGTAGAATCAAAGCAGCCATGTATGTCGCTGAGTGTAGATGCTTAGTACTTCAGGGGTTATTAATATTTATTGCTTGCAAATTTTTTGAAATAGATCCGTCTCATCTCCATGACAATTTCCAGAACTCATTCCTAGGTCTGCAACTGTACAATTTTTCACTCATCTGCCTCTGTTATTAACTCCAGCCCACTTTGTCGTCTTGAATCAACATGCACGTTTTTTAACCTCCATCCTCCAATCCCCTCAAGTTATTTATGCTATGAGATACAGTATTAGCATTTCAGCAAGCACATCATAGAACAAATTGTCATTAAACGTAAAAGCAATTACATTCAGGAATCAGCATCTGTTATAATTACTAATTCAAGAAACGTGTTAAATACTCACCAAGTTTGGTGCCAGCTAATACCACCGGTATTCCAGGAGCATAATGCTGAAGTTCAGGAATCCACTGACCAAAAAGGGGCATTCAGCAGTCTTAAAGACATTTGACATAAACTCACAAAGTTCACAGTTTTAAACAGAATGTACCTTTTTAAGTATGTTCTCGTAGCTGGCACGACTAACCAAGGAGAATGCTAGGACAAAAACATCTGCTCCTCGGTAGCTCAGTGGCCTTAATCTGTTATAATCTTCTTGTCCTATAAAAATGATCAGAGGATCGAGAAATCAGAATTCCTTAGCCTCCTTAAACGATTAGGAAATGTTTATTACAGGATGTTAGTACTTGATTTGGAGGAGGGGGAATAGGAAATCATCTTGGAACCATTCAGTTGTAATTCGTTGACATATAATTTACCTGCAGTATCCCAAAGACCTAAATTTACTGTGGTCCCTTCAACAACCACATTGGCACTGAAGTTGTCAAACACCGTAGGAACATAATCCTGGTTCGAACAAATATAAGACTCAGAAAACTGAAGTTCAAGTTCAGGAAAGATACTCAAGAAATACTCCTGAATAACACAAGCAAGCCATAGCATTCTGTTCTTTCTGGTTGATTAGGTCCCCATTACATTTCCTCTTACTGGGATTTTTCTCTTCAACCACCCCACCCCCACCCCGCCCAATATTGTGACCTAGTTGAGGCCAAGAATGGAGCATACCAAGAAAACACAATCCAAGACAACATTTCAAGAATAAGGTTAAATAAAGCAACAAAATTAAAAAAAAAAAAAATAGGCTAAAGTAATAAAATCAGAAGAAACAAAAGAGAAAAAAGCTGCAAAACCCACACATAAAAAACAAACATTCAGCTTATCTAGGCATCAAGCACAAGCAATGAGGGACATACCAAGAAACCCACATGGATATTTTGGGGAAAAGAGATACTAGTAGTAAAACACTTACAGTCGGGAACTTGTTACTGGTATAGCAAATAAGCATACAAGTCTTTCCAACGGCGCCATCACCAACAGTAACACATTTGATGAATCTTGATGCACTTGAGGCCATTGAACATAAAAAAATACCTCAAGAAAGCTGCAGCAACAAAATTAAGAAGAAAGAATATTTTTACCCAAGAAAAAGAGTAGTAAGTACTAGTAATACAGTAGTGAGGAGTGGGTGAAATTGGAAAAGGAGAGAGGTGAGACAGTGAGTAAAAGATCACATGATTCTTCCTCAATTCACTGCCTCTGTACTCTGTAGCAAAGCTGTCACCTTTTTATTGATTCAATCTTCTTGGAAAATATAAAAAGACTGGATCTTGATTTTTGGTATTATTTCTTACTACGTAAAATTGCACACCAAAATTCTGCAAATGTTGTGTGTTTATGTATGTAACTGGGGGTCTAGTGCTACGTTTTACATTTATTAATTTTCTTGTTTGGGAGAGGGTGTGGAGATCCCACAATTAGAAGGACTCCTCCTCAGAGTGGATTAAGTGAAAAATGGGTCCTGTGAGTTGTGACAGATGAGTATGTGGGTCTTGGTTCTGTTGAACAAATTAAACTATATGCCCGGGATAAGCCATTGACATTTGACAAAAACCATATTGCTTCTTTATCATTGAAATAATTTTCCTATTATTTTTAAATAAATAATTTTACTATTTTTTTATTCTTAAATATTAGCACAATTTGATACTTAAAATAAATAACCAATTCTCTAGAAGTCAATTTTTTTATAAAAAAAAATCGTGTATTAATTTGGACACACCTGACATTTATAAAAATTTGTTATTATATCATTTAGGAGTAGTTTGGTAGAATGTTGGCATAAACAACTTTGATAGCAAATATGTTTCAGTAACCTACAAAAATGATAAAGCAATATATTGCAATAAGTAAAATTACATAAATAGTGTAAAAAATTTGCACTATCATTTATGATGTCGGATTTACACGATAAAAGAAAATACTATGGAGTACAATAAAATTTATTGCAAAAAAATGAGAAAGCAGAAACATAATATTTTACATTACATAACCATTAATGCTAAATGAATAATGATTTGTTCACGCATTTTTTAATCCAAGAAAGAATATTAATATTTCTATTATTCATAAGACTGTGTTAGCTTCCAAGCAACTACCAAACCTAAAAAAACAATGCTTTTGAGTTCAATGGGTAATTAAAGTGCATTGAGTTTGGTAGTTAGACTCCACTAGTTTTTTTATTGCCATAAATTTGTAGCCATATAGCAATCATCATGAGTAGTTGAGATAAATGTATAGTTGTACACTAATGAGACTTGACAATTCCATTGTTTTATTTGATATATACTTTTAAAAAGGAGAGCTGCTGCCTTTGTAGCAAGCTAGTTACTCTCTTCAATTTTACTGGCCTCTCCTAAAGACTAGTCTTGAATTTATGGAGTTTTTATCCGGTGAAATTCAAAGATAGACAGATTTATAATGCTAATTGAAAAATAGTCACAGTTTTCAAATTAATTGAAATTTAGTCACTTTTTATGTAAAAATAAATCTGAACAAAAGCATTGTTCAAAATCCGGAAAATATTCCAGCATAATATGCTGGAGTTCGAATTTTTTACATGTGAACTTCCAGCATAATATGCTTGAATTTTATAATGTGCTGGAGTTCCTGTCACGACCCATTTTCTGAACAAGTCGAGACTCGCACTCGATCACTAAACATGACCGAGTGAACCATCTCTGCTTATCAAATCTATTATAACTCCAAACTTTATATGCAACAAGGCAATACTCTAATCCAATACTCCAAAACTTTATTCGTAGTAACTACTGAATTACTGCTAAGTTATTATCAACAAACATCTGAATCTTAACCCAACAACTATGTCTATGAAGTCTCTTCTGATAAACTGACGAACTGCTTAGGACATGAGATTTCCTGGACAGTTCTCTAAGTAAACAAAGAAATAACTAAATAAAGATGACTCTACGGAATACTCCACGAACAAAAGCGGAGCTCGCCAATAGCACTGGAAGAGAAGGAAGTTCTAACCAGTAGCCTGCTCGCCTGCAAAACCGGTTCCTACGTTGTACCGCAGACCAACGTAGATTCCCAAAAGAGAACGTCAGTACCATCCATTGTACTCAGTGAGTCTCAACAACATGGGCGAAACATTAATAACATATACATTACGAGCAAAGGTTCTAAATGCATGTAAAACATTCTTATAAGAATAATTCTAAAAAATTGCACATAGCAGTTTATGAATATTCTAAAAGAAATTCTGTCATTTTTCTTTCTTATAAAAAAAATACTTCACTTTATACTTTGGGAGTTCCAACTATCCCGACTTAATTCTGTCTCAGTCACCGTGTGATCGGCACGGGTTCGATCCCAACCTGATCGAATAGGCCCAATCCACGAGGTGCCACTCGCTTCATGGTTCTCAGCGCTCATGCATCATACCTTAGCGTGGCTAAGTAAATTCTTAGCAACGAGACCCTCGGCTCGTGTGCTCCCTACTTTGGCACAAGTAGTTTCAGGAAGTCAACGCCTTTGTCAGGACCCTAGGCCTGGATAATGACCCCTTCTCAAAATAAAGGATACTCCCAAAAATCTTTTCTTTCTAAAACTTCTTCTTGTGACTTTTCAAGTCTAAATCTTTTATACATACTCATACTGGTATCCTTAAATGTAAGGCACGACAGAAGAATGAAATAAATATTCAAAAGTATATAAAGAGTCTTGATTCTTCATGAATTTTCAACATGAAAATAACATATAAGAATAACATAAAAATCTAAAATTTATGCACATATATCAAAATAATCATCTAAACTTTAGCTAGAAAATAATCCTAAGCTAACAGGTACTTACTACTCCAATTAAGTATATATTAACTCTTTTATGCAATTCATCAAACACCTTATATGCGTGTTTTTGTGAGTTAAACCACTTTAGTAAAGGGTTATATCAACTCACCTCAAAATTCCTTGAGCCAATACGTGGGCCCCAGTCCAATTTATACCCGTCAAACAATTGATTCTACAACAATCAGTGCATTTTAATTAATTTTAAAGTTTCACACCTAAACATGAAATTTAATGTTGATACAGAGGAAGAAGGGAATTAACTATTCAATTATTACCTACTACTACTTTAGGATAATTAATAATAGGAAATTTTATATATCCGAATTCAAGAATTAGTGCTTTGTAAAGAACCCTAGGATTTTCGTTGTCTGCGTAAATCGTCTTGCTGCCTCTATTTCTCGTTCTGCTCCTCTCTTTTTTTGTACGAGGCTTGCGTGAGTTTAAGCTTCTGTTTTGTTCCTATAAGACTTTTCAGCCTTCAAACTTGTGTTTTGATTAAGGCTTTCAAGCCTTTTGCCCTAACGAATACGTTTCCAGCCATTTTATGGGCCCACTCTCTTTTTTTCTTTCCTTTTTTTTGTTTTTGTTTTATTAATTTTTCCCTTTCTGTTTTGTTTTAACTTAACTAATATTTAATGATACCCATTTTTAATAATTAATAATATTAAAATTTTTAATATTCCCATAATTATATATCCAACTATTTATAAATAGGGAAGTAACTCAAAATCAATCACAAGGATTTAAATCCGTACTAGCAGTATAATATAAGGAAAAAAAATATTAATTCTATATTTAGCGAGTGTTTAAACTTCTATAGATTTGAGGAGTGTTACAGTTTCAACATAATATGCTGAAAGTTCATACACAAGTACTTCAATCTCCAGTATATTATGTTGGAAATTTCATGTTATTGAAACAAAATAATGGTTATTTTTTAATTACTAGTTCGAAAACTGGTTAGGCCGTGCTTTTTTAAATTTTTTACTATGAGTACCTATTTCAGCTAGTGTGCTGTTAATATAATCTAATTGGATCTAACATTCTGACATGGCTATAAATTATCAGTTTGTCCTTAATGTGACTCAGTCCCCTTTGACTTGAACTCAGATAAAGATTGAAAAAGGTTTATACTTTAGAACATAAAAATAAAAAGAAATGTCTGATATTGTTTTTATCCATTTTTCTCCTCATCTGCCCCGATTCGTGTCCCCCTCTTGTTCCTTCATCTTTCATCACTATCCCTAACCACCATATATATTTTATTCTGACAATCTTCAGTATATTCTTCTTTTCAACCTGTATAGGCAAATGTGTAAATTAGAAAGGACAATCTTTACTATCCTTCTGTTTGAAGGAACCATTCATGACCCAAAAAGGAAAAAAGATGAAAAGTGGAGAGAGAGAAACTCATGAATATAAGAGAACAAGAAACAAATAACATGTGAATGCAAAATCCGTAGGCAAAAAACGCAGAAATTTCTGGTACATATTTACACAAAAACAAAGAAGAGCACATGCATATTGCGGTGAAGTGTCACAGGTTTCTGGTGCATGAGTAGTCTCATTCTTTGTCTATCTAGGACCACTATGATTCTTATTTACAGTTTCAAACTAGGTTCTGTAGAATTTTAAAAAGAAGGGGCAATTCGGTACATAAAGTATATCGCGTTTATGTTGGGTCCGGGAAGAATTGTGACCCAAGAGGCGTGATGTGGACAACTTGCCCTAATGCAAACATTACTGCTTTCACGGCTCGAATCCCCTGAACTATACGTCACACAAAAACAATTTTATCATTGCTCCAAGTTCCCTCCAAGGCTCCCTAGAATGTCTGGAAAAAATGGCTCATCTATTTAGGACCACTTCCACCATCAATGCTCGTTTCAAAATTTTGATATTTTTGTCATTGATCAACTTATATATATGATCCGTTTTGTTTCCAAGCAATCATAGAAAGATTTATTTGAAAATAAGGAAGAATAGTTTGCATAACTAAAAATGGTTTACCGTCAAACCTCTCTATAATAGCCTCGTTTGTTCCAAATATTTTTAGATGTTATAGCGAAGTACTGTTATAGAGAACATATATTATAACATAACTTAAAAATTGGTTCCGGAAAAGTTTTATAGTGAGGTGTTGTTATATAAGGATACTATTATAAAAAATTCTGACTGTACTAATAGCCCGTTTGGTCAAGCTACAAAAATCAGCTTATTTTGAGAAGTGTTTTTCTCAAAAGTACTTTTAGTGAGAAGCAGTTTGTATTTGACTAATTAATTTGAAAAGTACTTCTAAATAACAATTAGTGTCTGGCCAAACTTTAAAAAACTGTTTCTAAGTGTATTTTTCTCAAAAAAGTACTTTTGGAGAGAAGCTACTTTTTTCTGCTTCTCCAAAACTGCTTCTGCTTTTTCTCAAAAGCACTTTTTTTCCTTCCAAAAGCTTGACCAAACACCTCAATTTTTTGCCAAAAGTGCTTCTGGCCAAAAAGAAACTTGGCCAAACTGGCTATAAGTTTACTGGTGGTAAGTTGGTGTAAGACGAGATGAGAGGAAGCTAGCTCAAATGAGATGTGGTGGGCTGGTGGCTATAGCTGGTAACTAATTCTTGTACGCGTTATGCTTTGGGTGCTCTTAATTAAGAGGCCTTTT